TCAAACATCATATCTCTAGAAAGATATTTCATTTCACTCCTATTTCACCTATGGCAGGAGGTAGTACTTTACGTAACTCCAACTCTGCTGTTACTGCTAGTCAGCGGCCTGTAGTAGCCTGCGACCTTGATGAGGTCCTTGGCCAATACCTGGCCACTTACTCAAAGTGGCACAATAGAGTTTACGGCACACACTTGAAGGTCTCCGACTTCTTCACGTATCGTTTCTGGGAAGTTCAGGGAGGTACTACTACTCGTATTATACGTACCATTAAAGATGGCTTATTCGACTATCGTTAGTTCTGGGTCCGCAATAGTGATTTCTCCGTGGAAAGACGTGCGCTCGAACGACCAGTTGGTGACTCGGTCGAGTGAAGGTCTGCCGTGGCTGTCAGGTACAGCGAAGGAGGCTATGGAGAAGTGCTACGTCTTTCACGAGTCTCCTGAGTTCAAGGCCGGCATTCCTCTCGTTCCCGGTGCTCAGGAGTACATAAGGAAAATCGGAAAATTCGCTGATGCCCATATAGTTACTTCCCGACAAGATGTGAGTCGTGGTTTTACCACTGACACCATCAACGGCGCTTTTCTTAGCAAATTCGACAAGACACTTACGACTGGATTTTCAAGAACTTTGGTATCCCCTCCAGCAGGGTCCATCTAGGTAATCACTTCGGCCTGTCTGGCAAGCAGATCTCCAAGGCAGACATGTGCAAAGTAAGTTGGTTGGCCTGTTTGGTTATGTTGATTTATATTGATAGGATATTGGTGCTAGCTTACTGATCGATGATAACCCAACGTATATCAATGACGCTGTTAGTCACGGCTTCGGTGGAATCCTATTCGACTACAATCATGAGTAAGAGGCGGGGGTGATGATGTTGCTGATTTTGTTGTTGTTGTTGTTGTTGTTGTTGTTGTTGCTGTTGATGCTGCTGTTGTTGTTGTTGTTGCTGTTGATGCTGCTGTTGTTGTTGTTGTTGCTGTTGATGCTGCTGTTGTTGTTGTTGTTGTTGCTGTTGATGCTGCTGTTGTTGTTGTTGTTGTTGTTGTTGTTGTTGTTGTTGTTGCTG